CGGCAGAATTCGGTTTGAAAACGCCTTATCCCAGCTGCCGCTTCAAAACGGCCCATATCAACATATTTTCAAATGAGATAGGGCGTTCTTTAAACAAATTCTGAGATATAGGGCGTTTTTGAGCCATTTTCTGAGATAGGGCGTTTTCGAAGCGGCTGCCGAGATAGGGCCAATCTTCCACTCAACCGTCGATATAATCTGGTGACACCTTAGAATTCGAAAAAATATAAATATTTTATATAATTTTTAACATAAATTTTCTATAGAGCTATTGTTTCGTTTAAATCGCACTAAATAAAATGGCTGTTGGGTTGTTGTTCAATTGGAAAAAAAAAACACAGGACGACGAGCGAAGGTCAGGAGGGGGGGAACCAGCAACAGAAGACGCTGGCTGGGATTAAGCATGCAAAGAATTCGGGCTGCGTACAATGCATCCTCTTAAGTATTTTGTAGAATGAGGGTGGTAAGTTGTTGATTGTTCGATGTTTTTTTTTACAATTTTTAGTAGCAACTTTTCTGAGTTTAGTCACGCGTGATTTGTTGTTAGTTTCAGTAAATTAAAACAAAGCTTAGAAAATGGCATTTGCTACTAACGAATATTTACATAACTATGTAAGTAACTAACTATGTATGGATACCTACATACATACATATGTACATACCTAAGCAATAACAAATGATTTTCTATTTCTGAGGCTAGAAAATCACACGTAAATCTAATTTAATTAACTACAGCAAAAATTAATCTACAACGTATAACTCACTAAATCAAAAAAAAAAACTACTAAAAACAAATTTATTTACAACATAGCTCAAAAAACAAAAAATAAAAAATAAACTAACGGTAACTGCATTTATATCGAATACTATAATTNATGATTTTCTATTTCTGAGGCTAGAAAATCACACGTAAATCTAATTTAATCAACTACAGCAAAAATTAATCTACTACGTATAACTCACTAAATTAAAAACAGATAGGAGCTTGATACTAAAAACAAATTTATTTACAACATAGCTCAAAAAACAAAAAATAAAAAATAAACTAACGGTAACTGTATTTATATCGAATACTAAAATCNGACGCTGGCTGGGATTAAGCATGCAAAGAATTCGGGCTGCGTACAATGCATCCTCTTAAGTATTTTGTAGAATGAGGGTGGTAAGTTGTTGATTGTTCGATGTTTTTTTTTACAATTTTTAGTAGCAACTTTTCTGAGTTTAGTCACGCGTGATTTGTTGTTAGTTTCAGTAAATTAAAACAAAGCTTAGAAAATGGCATTTGCTACTAACGAATATTTACATAACTATGTAAGTAACTAAGTAACTATGTATGGATACCTACATACATACATATGTACATACCTAAGCAATAACAAATGATTTTCTATTTCTGAGGCTAGAAAATCACACGTAAATCTAATTTAATTAACTACAGCAAAAATTAATCTACAACGTATAACTCACTAAATCAAAAAAAAAAACTACTAAAAACAAATTTATTTACAACATAGCTCAAAAAACAAAAAATAAAAAATAAACTAACGGTAACTGCATTTATATCGAATACTATAATTAACAACATATTGACAAGGTTGTTTAACGAAACTAGCAAAACAAAAAAAAACTTTTCAACCGCAAAATTCTCCAAACACAACGTAACTTTGGCTAAAAAATCACAACTCGGGTTTTGGCTACTTTTTTATTTAATAATTTTTTTACAAGGAGGTCTGTTAGTTCAATTGCGTCGGCAAACAATAAGGTCTGATTCACAAAGTGTACAAATTAACGAAGTGGAAGATTTATTAATCAAATTAATACATAATTTTAACAAAATAAGGCAAAGTAAAAGAAAGTGAATAGGAAATCCTAATGTACACTGGCGTTCAAAACCTAGGGACTGGTGATTTTTTTTATTGTTCACAATATTTTTCAAACCAACATTTTTTTGTATTTTTTTTTTTTATATTGTTAATGCTATTTAAACAAAAGCCTCAAACTTTAGGCCAACTAAAAAAAAAAAAAGGAACCAAAATTCAACTTTTTAAATCTTATTTTTAGAACATTTTTGGGTATACCCAGGGAATTTAAGAGTTCGCGTAGATTTTTTTTTATATAAAAAGTGCAATTTATAAAAATATGCGTTAATTTAAAAAAAAAATATTTGTGCACGGTGTGGACATTTTCTTTTTCATGTTTATAAGGGAAAAATCAATATTTCATTAGCTACATATACATAGGCGCATATATAACTGCAATTCTGATTAACAGTGAATTTTTGATAAAAATTTTTCGAATATGTGAAAAAATTGTATTTTCCTAAAATTTCAATCTTTGTTTAAACTGAAAAAAAAAACATTCACTCAGTTTTTAACGCCAGTGTACATACAGTGGTGGAAAAATAAATAGGGACTCGACATTTTAACAAATTTTTCCTATTTTAATTTTGTTTATTTAATATTTATTATTATTTTTTTACAAAAGTATAGCTCATTATCTAATAAAAACCATATAAATATTTCAAACTTTGTGCAAAAATTATAAAAATTCCGCAAAATTGCATTTAAATTCTCAACTTTTTAATCAGAATTTTTTTGAGTACGCACTTTTATAGCCGATTAAATTTTGGTAGAATAAAGTGCAAGTTTTAAGTTGCCAAAAAATCGCGTTGATTTTTGATAATTTTTTATTCTGAATGTATTACGCACTCTTTTCATAAAAAAAAAATCGAACATACTTTAGTTTGTATGGAAGAAAATGCGTTCAAAAATATTGCCAAAACTCAACGCGAATTTTTAGCAACTTAAAACTAAAATTTAATGGGCTCTAAAACTGCATACTCAAAAAAATTCTAAAAAATTTAATCAAAAAATTTAGATTGAATTTTGCAGAAGTTTTATAATTTTTGCACAAAGTTTGAAATATTAAATAAACAAAAGAAAAATAAGAAAAATTTGTATAAATTCTTAGCCAGTAGATAAAAATAAACGACGCAACAAAGGGAAAATTAAAACAAGTGAACAAACGTTAGATGGAAAGTGAAGAGTACAAAGTTAAAGCAGCAAACTACGATAATAATATTATAGAAAAAAATATAAATATATAATGTGAAAACCGGACGCTTATAAATTGTATAATTAAGCATGTAGACAAACCAAAGCGAACAATTTTGGATTACCACAAAAATAAATAAAAATTTTTTATTTACAAACTAGAAAAAAATAGTTGAGACACTTATTAGCGTTTAATTAAAATTTATAAAAAAAGAAACGTATTCCTAACTAATACTATTTGATGAAAATTTTAAAGTTAACTATGTTTGATATCGCAGTAAATTTTAAGCCTTAGCTTAAGGACTTGAAAAATTCGTATCAATACAGCAAACAGATCTGAGGATCCTCTCAGATGTAAACCTCTTTGTTTATATTTTTCCAATAAAAATTTGAAATACACTCTGTCTAATATGACGCGATATTTTAAAAATTGTGTTATTGCAAACAAATTGTTTAGTAAATTTCGGTAGACAGATCATTTTGTATTGCGAATTTTGCTAGTTTCTTACTCTGGAATAAGCGGCTAAAGCACTAAACGGATCTAAAAAAAACAGTCACATGATCATTAATTCTTTGTAACAAAGTCGAGCTCATTGGTGCATAAAGCTGAAAAGCTTTTGAAGAAAGTGTCGAAATACATATCGAGGGCTTTTCTATAGTTCGACTTGGAACTTTTTCTGTAAGTTTGTTCTCTTCACACCATGTAGTCTTTGCTAAACTGGGAGAGAATCTTTGTTTTCATTTTCCCACTGAATCTCCTTCAAATCACTCTGAATTTACTTGATCGATCACTTAGTAAGCTCTTTTAAGCTCCTCTACATATGTAAACCTACATATATTGGATTATCCATAAATCTTTTCAAATTCCCACAGAGTTTTCGACGCTATACACTTTTAACCAAAATATCAAGTATCTAGCCAGTCACTTACAGAGTCCAATTTTACTATCACCTTGAAACCGTGAAGAATACGGAAAAGAGCTCAAGTGGCTGCATTGACGGTCAAAATAACTCTCTAAAGAAAGTTCGTCAATTTAAAGGTTTACTTGAGATCTGGAAACCCGTTTGCAGATATAAGTATGTAGATCGTTCGATTGGTTTCTTCGATGATCGTCAGATTGCGGAAAATTAAACCATGTAAAGATCTTTGAAGTTGCCGCCATTTTTCCGAGCAATTAGCGCTGAGACACGATCAGACCACTGTCTGGGGCCAAGGACTTCGCTATTCCTTGGGATCTGGGTGAATAGGACGTTAAGGTTTAACTTGTTTTCAGGCTGTCGGAGTTTCCTGACAATTCTTATAGACAGTAACAGCATTTATTTAGATAAGAAATCGAAATCTAGAGAAGTTTGGTAAAACACCGATCCAAGATAGTGAAGATACCGAAACCCATCACATTTTCTGTGCAGAAGCTTCCGAAAAATGGAAATATTTTAAGCACCTAAAGATATTGCAATCAACAAATAGCCTATATGAATGCTAACGAAATTTTTCGAGGTCAGCTAACTTCGGTTTTCCCAAAGTTCACTCTACTGTTAGATCGCGCGACTGTTTTCTAAAAAGTTTTTCCTTTTCTACATATCAGTTTTGTTTTGTTTTTTTTTGCTTGCTTTCACTTTTAACTTATGTCTATTGCTCTAAATAGCTGTTTTAAAACTACTCTTTAATACTAAATAAAGATAGATATGTGTACTTTTTTTTCGAAAACAGAATAAGCAGCATAGCGTACATATAACTTATTGTAAAAACGAAAATTAACGATAAAATTTAGAAAGAAAAACATAGCTCAGTATATAGAGAGTATAGGATTACGAAACAAAGTATTCATACAATACGCAATTTAGTTAAGATAACATGAGAAAGAAGTGAATAACAATAACAATAGAAATTAAACAAAAGTAAGCAGAACAGAAAAAATATAAATCAAACATAATGTGGTAAACTTACAAGTTGCTTAGCTATCATCAGTACAGTCTTAAGAGAAAATTTACGGGAACAAATATTGAAGAGATCTTCTAAGGACAGTCCCAATAACTCTAATACCATGGCATTATAACGGCCACCACATGTGCCCAGATAATACACGCGCGGTATACCCTCTGGACATTCATCTACGCCGTTTTCAATACAAATACAAGTGGTCACGTCAAAGGATTTATAGGTTTTTACATTTTGTTGATTTGATCAATTGGTGATGTGTTTGTGAATGATGAGCATTGGTATGAATCCAGGGTAAGCAGACGTAGGCAAATAATCCAAGCATTCATCAACATCCGGCAGGTGTGTACAGGGTGTGGTATAAATTCATCGTTTGGACGTAGTGGTGGCGTTCAAAGGATGTTTGGTAGTTTTTTTTTTCAAGGATTTGTAGTGCGTGGTGAATTTATAGTTTTTGTTTAAATTTTTTAAATTTGTTTAGCAATAGATGGAAAGCACGCGCGCAGCAACAGCAACATTTATACGCAAATATACAACAATAAAAAAATAAAGTTGATACAAATTATTCTCGATATTACAGACTACAGTCGTTGTGAATGTATGGATGTAGTATATGTATATGTATTTAAATGTATGTGATGCGCTTGAATGTATATACAAAATTGGAAATGTGTAATCCTATTATCGCTAAAATTTAATTACGCTATTTCTGTTTTTCTAGCTCACGTATTTTATAGCGATTTTTATACGCCGAAATTGCTTTCAATAATTCACTTGTGCACCGAACTTCGAAATATGTTCGAGAAAATCTATTTTTTCTGCTTAGCCTATGTAGTTATTAAGTTATATTTTAGCCCTCGTTTTGTGTACCAAAAGTTTTTTTTTTTATTAGAACAAAAAATTGTGAAATTTGCGAAGGCGACAACGGTGCAAGACTTTTTATTTGACAATATCAAGCTAAGTTAGATCAATTCAAAGCGGGAGTGTTTATAAATAAAAAGCGTGTGAAATAAAAACAACCAAATTTGACTTTTATAGAAGTGATATGGAACTTTGTTTTGTACCAAAGGTGCAAATTTTCACATAAATCGATTACATGTTTTAAATTTTCTAAAAGCTTGAGGAAAATGCGCTAAGTTTAAAAGCTGTGGAAAATTCTAGGGAAGCTTTTTTAAGAAAATATTTTTTTTTATATATATAATTCAAAAGCTCAACAAATGTGTATGCATGTAAGTTACATTTTAAATAAATTCCAAAAGCGATAATACTTTCAAATTTTTAAACAAGTTTACAGCTTTTCTTCATAGTTTTCCAGTTTTTTTTGGTTTAAATCGGTTTTAGACAGAAGGGGCTTTTGTCCGGTTTCCATCTATATAAAATGTATGAGTAGTTTTGACCATAAAGAGCTTTTATCCAGTGCCAATTATGCATAATATGTATGTATGTAAATGGAAAGCTTGAGAAGCTCGCCACGCTTTAAACAGCTCGTCATGAGTGATCTGATTTCATAAAAATGGCACTTTGCGAAAGAAGATTTTAAAAGCTTTACCTCAGGTGCCTTTAAAGCGGTGATGGATACTGCCTTGCCCTCGGACAAAGCCCTTTTAAGCTTTCTATAGGAGCGTGCAAGGTGAAAGCTCTCTCTGCCCATCGCTACTCTAAAACATAATTACTTCATATCACCCGCGTGCCACAGTTTTCAAAAGCTCATATACCGCTAGCACAAAATATAAGCCTTCGCTGGCCAACATTGCACTAAAGACAACAAAAATAAATAATTGACATTTAAAAGCTAATTCAAGGCAGAAATACACACAGTCAGTCTTCTTTTGAGGACCTTATCGAGGTGTAGAAATGGGTATTCTTATCACTCGGCTGCAGGGAGAATACGTATGTATGTACATATGAAAAAAGCTTTGAAAAGCTTTCAAAGTTCAGCAGCTTTGAATTAGACGACGCTTGATGCTTCAAAATGTATAATGCATGCCAAAGAGAGCTTATAATCTGTTTAGGCCTATGCAAAATGTGCAGTAACCTTGAAAACGGATTTGCAAATTTGGTTTAAAACATATTTTAGCTATGGTTTAAAAAAAAACTCACTTCAAAACGTCGCACTCGAAAAATTTTATTCGAATTTGGTTGCTTTTATTTCAAAATATTAGTAATATTTTAATTTAGAAAGGAATATGCCAACATTTTTCAGAATTTCGGGGTTCTATTCAGCAACTTAATCAAATGGAGTAAGAGAGTTTTGTTTAGTTAAGGGACCGTGGGAGAGGGTAAAAAGGCATTAAGTAAAAATATAAATGTATGCAGGGTTATAATTCATAGCTAAAATAAACGAAACCGATTACATACCATGTGATCCTAATAGTTTATAAAACCTATACTCTAAATGTAGTTGCGGAGCCTTTGACTTCATAGGCTCCATTTTTATTGCTACGTGTTCATTGTTGTACAGATTTTTGCCTGAAATGAGAAAGAAAGAAGAATACCAGTGCATTAAGATTTGATAAAAAATTTAAAAGAAGTTTACATTTAGACAGGAGAAGCGCCTAAAAGTAGACGCTTGTGTAGACTTAAATTCGAGAAGAAGATTTTCAAAGTGCATAGCAAAATTAAAGACTCAAAGATTATACACATTTTAGCTGCGGAATTTCACCGAAAACATTTTCGCAAGCAATAGTTTTTCACATCGCAGTCAAATCGAGGTGAGTTTAAAAATTTCCGAAATCATGCTTCTCTCTCTAATTTCCCGGAAAAGTTCAACGCCTGTATTTCCACAGCATAACCTTAGACACAAAATATTGCATTCCGAAAATTTGCAGGCCATGTCAATGCCATAAACATTAAACATTTGCGAGACCAAAGTGTCATGTTGCACAGTGACAGTGACACTGGCACACTGACTGTCAGTAAAGCATACCAACATTTAAAATTTTGCAGGCAACAAATGACAAAAAAAAAAACGGATGCATTTAAATGCAGTGCCACTTTTTTGGCATACATCAATTACATACGCATGTATTTATATGTGTGTGTGTGTGTATGTTTGCATTTATGAGAACAATAACAAAACGCCAAAAAATTAAAAAAAAATCAAAATTTCATTCCATCATTGATTGCGTGCAGCTCTCCTCCTACCTGCTGCATCAGCGCCACCGGAACTGGCGCTGCCATTGCAACTGCCGGTGCCGCTTGAACTGGCAACAGTGCTGGTGCTGCCGCCAAAACAGCACATGCGTCGACCTAATGGCAAAGCATTGCAAAGCAAACCAAAACAAAAAAAAAATAGTTAAATTTTTTGTGCACTCTCGACTTTTTTCTTTACTATCGCTATTTTTTTAATGGAAATTCATTCATACGACAGCCATTTTTATGATTTATGAAAGGTCACAGCAGCTATCAACCAATGTGATGGATAATGAAAAATTGAAATGAAAATCTCGCCAATCCAGTGTGTGAATTGCTTCCAGAAAACTAGCTATAATCTTTTGTGTGTTATTTTTTTCTGTTTTTTTTTTCAACATAAAATCGTCTTTTAAAATTAAAAAAAAAAAAAATCTGTTTGCGCTTTCAACAAAATAAAATTTATCGAGCCCTAGCCGCCAAAGAGATGTAAGCGACATTTTTTTCAAAATTTTCTTTTTGATGTGAAAATGTGCATCAAAAATAAAATTTAGAAAAAATGTTGTTTACACCTTTTTGGGCAGTTAGGGCTCTATATAATGAATTTACAGCGAAATTTAAGATGAATAACCGTTTTATTCGATAACAAAACTCTGGTTTATTCGATATTTTAAAAATCATGATTTCAAAAAAACCTTCCAAAAATTTGGAAACCCTAGTTTTGGAAAAACCGAATCAATCATAAAATACAAATGTTTCTGGGACTGAAGTTACCTACTTTAGCCTCCATTTACGGAATAGAAAAAAGCACAATTTCAAACCTTCGATGGACGCTGTTTTTTTTTTATTTTATAAATAAAATAAATATAAATAAACTTTCAAAAGTATAAGAAAAACTTCAAGACGGCAATTTCAGCGCACGGAAATATCAATTTAATTTCAGTGATATATTTTTCCCACAAAGAACAGCGCATTTACAGCCATTAGTGAACTAAATTTATCACTCAATGTTATTGGAATTTTCAGGGTCAAAACCTTCTCCACATTATTAACTAAGAACAAAATAAAAAATAATCACACTTTGCAGCTAGATAATAAAATTTTAATACATAATAAATCCATGTAAACACCTCAGCACCTTGCCCACAAAGTTTGCGCAAACGGCGCTATTCGCACATCCCTAACACGTGTGCGCCGCGCCGGCCGTCCATATCTGAAGCACTGGCGTTGATTAAAATTGACTGATTATGTAAATAAATATACATACTTACATAAATAAATACAACAAACATAACAGTTGATAATAAAAAATATGAATAAAGTAAATAAGCTAAAACTAATAGGCAACAAATTGCTGATTGTAAAAAATGTGAAAAAAGTGCCCCGCTCGCTCGTTGCCTCCTCTTTTCTTTGCTGTTATTGCTGCTACTGCTGTTTGCGCAATTAAATAAAACTTGCAAATAAATGCAGCGCCTAAACAAACAAAAATTATCATTGGAAAAAAAATATGTACTCATAACAATAAAAATGAATGAATGAATGAATGAATAAACATTATCATGCCGGACGGGAGAGCAGAGCAAATATGAATATTTATATGGAGAAATAGCGAATGCAAAAAATCTATTGAAAATGTAATTGTGTCAATGACTAAAGTTAAACAAAAAAATAAAAATAACAACACTGCTAAGCTTACGACCGGAGAGTCTGACTCACACAATCGGCTCGCTTGAGTTGTTAATTACTTCTGAGAAAAACTCTGCTGCTAACTGATAACACTCAGCTATTTTGCTGTTAAATTTATTATTTACCTCGACTCTACAATGCATTTTATTAACACTGCGTTAGAAAAAGCGCGTGAGTGAGCGTCTAAAATGTAATTGGCATTGAATAAAATTAGAATGCATGCAAATCGAGAGAAATAAAATTTAATTACAAAAATTAAGTAGGTATACATGTAAAATAGGTGAGTACAAGGGGTGGCAAACGGCGGAAGGAACGGGGTGGGAAGGCTACGATGGCATTTTAGAGAATCTCTTTGTGCGAACATTTGCATATTATAAATACGCTGCTGATGTGTCTTTGTTTTATTTATTTTTGCTATTCTCATTTGGAAATTGTAGACGTCAAACACGCAGGCGTAAAAGCAGAATTAAAATGTACAACAATAAAAACAAAAACTTACGCCGCTTGACTTTGAAAAATTGGAATTTTATATTGCCCTCGTATGCATACATATTAAAATCATGAAAACCTCAGCTCATGTTGCAAAGAATTTGTAAAAACGCAGGGATAAGTCACACTTAGAGGCAATTTAGGTACCGTATGGCTTACTGAATTATTGACGCGTTTAGTATACAAATGTACATTGCACTGCATCACAGACAATAGAATTTTTACATAGCAAATTAAAGTGTTGAAAGAAAAACGACAATAAAAGAGTTAATTATCAAATCATGGCGTCATGACCCTCCGGCGCTAATACATACATACAGTGGTGGCAGATATAATAAGACTCGCCTTAGTTTGAAGAGTTTTGGCTATATTTCTTTGGTTTATTTTATGTTTAATATTCTTTTTTATAAAAGTTATAGTTATACAACAAACAACACATAAATCCATTTTTCAAACTTTGTTTAAAAATTATAAAAATTCGACAAATGTTCACCAAATTTTCAAACTGTTTATTCCAAACTTGCAGAAAAATTTTTGGTATGCAGTTTTGTAGCAATTTTAGTATAACAAAACGCAAATTTCATTTGGCTACAAAATACCGTTGATTTTTAAGATTTTTTTTTTGCGCTGACGGTGTCACGCATTTTATCTCATACAAAGTGTGCTCGACAATTTTTGATATGGTAGAGAATGCCTAGCATGGTCAACAAAAAAAAAATAAAATTGTCAAAAATCAACGGTATTTTCTAGCCACTTAAAACTCACACTTTATTATACTAAAACTAAATGCGCTACAAAACTGCTAACCAAACCAAAAACTAAAAATATTTCTCAAAATTATGAATAAAAAGTTTGAAAATTTGTTTTATAAAAATATATTACAACATAAAATAAGTTAAAGAAATATACCCAAAACTCTTCAAGGTACGACTAGTCTATTATTTATTTCTGGCGTCAATGTACATGTAATAATTTTGTTTACTGGCATCGTTAATAATTTGTACCGTTATCGACATTACTATCTTAGCGAGCATTGTTGTGGTTATCGATAATGTATTAAAATTGATTATATGAAAAATGTTTGTCACGCTTTGTCTCTCAAAGTACTATACATCGATTTGAATAATTATTTTTTCAAAATGAAGCATTTTTGGAAAACAACTAAGTGACATAATTATTATTCTTGGAAGATAAAAAAAAAAGAAATTCGTATATATTTCTAAGCAAATGTTGGCAAATCAATTGGAAAATTCGCAATCCACTTAACTTTCTAATCAAAAATATCATCAAGCAGCAAATCAAATAGAAATTATGGGTCACATTATTCAAAACACTGCTGCCATGGAAAGCGCCATCATTAACAACGGCACACAGTCACTCTTTAGTGTCGTTAACAAGTCAAACTGCAAATAGGAAGATTACGAAGCAAAATAAAATTTAAAAAAAACTGAAGAAAAAGCACTTGAAATCTTATTTCGACAATCTTAAAGCATATCTGAAGTACTTTTCAACGAAAAGCTTAAGCTGTCGAGTATTGCGAAAATAAAACAAATTAATGAAAGTATGTAGGAAAAAGAAAGGAGAGCTTGCTGTTCGAGAGCTGAACAGAAAGAAAAGCAAACGCTAAAAATACAATTTTAGAAAATACAAAAAATTAAGAATGGCAGGTAAGGTAACGAGCGCATGTTGGAAGGCAGAAAAGCGCGTAGAAAAGGTAAAACAAGAAACCTACAGGACATTCGAGTGCCACAGCACACTCAGTGAAGGACGAATGCTGATGTAAATTTAGCTAATCCTGGAAAATCCCATGCATGCGAAAAATATTTTAGATGAATGAAAAAGGACTACAGAGCAATGCAGATAGTGGGTTCTGTGTTCCGTTGGTGTTGGTGCGCACAAGTAAAAGGGTATGTATATACATATGTGAGTATGTATATACATACATACTTAAATGATGATATTAACGTTTATACATATTTTGAGAGAAATATTGCGAATTATTTCCAATGACATTTTCCAAAATCTGCGCCTTTCATTTAAACATTATATACATATTTTAAGCCGAGACAACGATGAGCTGCTTACCATTTGTATGTTAATTTAGTGCGACTTAGTATCGTCTGCGGGCGAAATTTAATCCGTAGGAATAATTTTAAAATTATCAA